CAGTAGCACGTAATAGTAACATGTAACAGTAGCACGTAATAGTAACATGTAACAGTAGCACGTAATAGTAGCACGTAATAGTAGCACGTAACAGTAGCACGTAATAGTAGCACGTAACAATGGCACGTAACAATGGCACGTAACAATAGCACGTAACAATGGCACGTAACAATGGCACGTAACAATAGCACGTAACAGTAGCACGTAATAGTAGCATGTAACATTAGCACGTAATAGTAACATGTAACAATAGCATGTAATAGTAACATGTAACAATAGCATGTAATAGTAACATGTAACAGTAGCATGTAATAGTAAGTTATTTGCTCACATGCTTTTTTGATAACATTCAGCTATCATCATGAAGCAGGGGGGGGATCTTATAGATGAGAATGTACAAGCTAAAGGCCCCCTGATAAAAGTTTTTGGTATATTAAATCAATTTGTACCAGTGAGGACTGATATACAGGAGGACTATACTTCTCTTTTTAAAACAGATAGGGCTAAGAATCCAGAGTCCGAGGATATCTAGAAGCTTCACTCTTTTTAAAACAGATAGGGCTAAGAATCCAGACTCGGAAGCTAGAAGCTTCACTCTTTTTAAAACAGATAAGGCTAAGAATCCAGAGTCCGAGGATAGCTAGAAGCTTCACTCTTTTTAAAACAGATAGGGCTAAGAATCCAGAGTCCGAGGATATCTAGAAGCTTCACTCTTTTGGAATGATAAGGTTTAAAGGCAAACTTCTCACTCTAATAAAACTTCAGCTTGTGAGAACATATGACCAGTTGTAGGGAGCTATTAACTAATTCATTTATCATGTAACCCAAACTTTTGATGTTTTTTAATAGTTTAACAGTAGTTTTCAGGCACATCAATTTGTGTTTGTATTATTAATTTTTAGAGGAAAGTAAATAGTAGTTACAGAAAATTACTGAAGTTACCTGAGCTACCATTTCAAGATGATCTGTTTGACAAAGTAGCTAACATTGCTGTTGGACTTCCCTTGGACCTGACCAAGTGTTTAAAATAGCTTATTTTTCATATGTTAGAAATATGCTATATCAATTTTGTAAGAAACAAACATCTTGGTTTGATTCAACAGACTTTGAATGCGTGATCTTAAGTGGTAGTTTGAATGTATTGTTTTCTGTAGTTTTAGATAAATTAATATACTTGTATCTCTGTCGTGTTGTTAAATGGTAGAATTACATAATTCTGTTGTATGTTTTAAGCATTACAAATATCAAGCAAGAACTTGATGGACACAACTTCTTACATAATAATTAAACTATTCATGCTTTTTACTGATGTATAAAGTGGTTTTATGGATATTTAGAGGTATTCAGTCTGACTGAAAAGTAAAGTCAATCATAGCGACAATATAAACATGATAGCAGTCTAACTTGCAAGTACAAAATGAAAAAGTATTTAGGATCACTTTAAACTTGTAAATTTGGACAAAACAACAGATAATGTAGTTTTTACCTGAGACTGTACTGGTACTTGTTCGTGTCCTATCCATTCTTGTTCGTATATTTCACTAAGGTGAGGTGTTAATCTTGCAATTATGATGGACCGCATCAGCTTTATAGATACATTTTTCTAAACTATATTTCCACCAAATTATGTGTGTGAGACTATATAACCTTGTTGGGTATAGGGTCTGTAATAACTTGTAATCAACAAAATTGAGATGAATATATTACATTTATTCACTCCAGTTACTGCTAGAATCCTCCATGCATTTTACTTAGAAAAGTTCAACTACAGCAGTTTTTTTTGTTTAAGCTGTGATTTCAAAAGTGGACACATCACACGTCTTTTATCTTATGGTTGTTTTTCTTTAACTTATTCGCTACTATGTGCCCCACCGATGGTTCACCACCGACTTTTAGTTATGGACCACGTGACACACCGGAGGGTCACAGACAATTATGTTTCAAAGCCAAATTTCTTTGGTGAAATTTGAGTTTGTGACATTACGACTGCTCCTTAGTACCTCTTCAATGTTTAATTTTATTTATACTTAATTTATTATCGGCAGCAAACGTGTTAACTACATTATAATATAGTACAGGTATATTTCTATGTTATAGAAATCATTCATAATGAGGAAGATGAACAAGCGTAACACGAATCAAAATGGTGGTTATTTTTTGGGTCCAGTGGTTGTATTCAGTATTCTGTGGTCCTTATATGAGACAGAGTTGGTGAACTTAAGTGCAGATAATGGCTCCTTCCTATTCATAATTTACTGGACAGTTTCTTGACCATAGTATGCCTGTCTTCTCTTTATATTGCTTTCTTCTTGCTCCTTGTAAATGTTGCTGCTTTCTGTTTATTTCGCTTTATTTTCCCTGTGAAGGATACTACCCCTGTTTGTATTACTTTATTTTCCCTGTGAAGGATACTACCCCCTGTTTGTATTACTTTATTTTCCCTGTGAAGGATACTACCCCCTGTTTGTATTACTTTATTTTCCCTGTGAAGGATACTACCCCTGTTTTATTACTTTATTTTCCCTTGTGAAGGATACACTTCCTGTTTGTATTACTTTATTTTCCCTGTGAAGGATACTACCCCTGTTTGTATTACTTTATTTTCCTTGTGAATGATTCTATCCCCCTGTTTGTATTACTTTCTTTACCCTGTGGAGGATTGTGCCTTCTGTTTTGCCTTCTCCTTGTGAAGCTTTGCCTATTTAACTGTTGGCCCTATTTTCAGTGATTTTAAATGTGTTTAGGAAGTAAACATTGTATGAAAAAATATCTTACAACTTGAGTTTTCTGATGGATATTGTTTTGTTTGATGAGCACCAACATAAATCCTGTCTGTATTTTCAAATTAAGTTTACAATCCAATATTGTATTCATTACTTGATTTGATATTTCATTTAGAAACTAGAAACGATGATGGATGATTTTTGCCACAAACTGAATGATCAGGTGACAATACCTCTGACAGCTTACATGAATCAGTTTCCCGATGTTCGGGTAAGTTGCCGGAAGGGTAGCACTAGTGTGTTTTCCAAAGATTGATAATCCATATTGTTTTTACTGTGTGTGTGTGTGTGTGTGTGGCGTTTTGTTGGTTTCCATCTTTTAAAGCAAATATCTCTGTCTTAAAAAATTAAAAGAATATATTGGTAAAAATCGGCTGTGCTTTTCAACATAGTTTATTAAAATCTTTGTAATTTCAATCAATTTGTCAACGTGATACATCAGCTGCCTTGAAGCTTCTGATTAAATATTTTCCATCGTAGTATTGCTAGTCCAGCTCAAACTGCACTAACTTCCAAAGAAAATTATAAAATATAATAAATAACGACTGATAATTTTTCTGTTAAGTTTGATTTAAGGCTCATTACACGGAATTTTAGCATCAAGAAATTTCCTAAGCCTTTTCTCTCTGAAATAGATAGATATTTTATTTTGGGATCTTTGAGCTCTGTTGGAACTCTTGTTGTGAATACTAGTAAGAAACACTCAAAGTTATTGTTAAGATTTACAAATCATTTGTCTTCGTGACAGCTAATTAAACATTCATAGACAAGTTTTGAAAACCTCCAAGAGAATCGAACATTTTACATACATTGACTTTTTTCTTTTTTTTTTTTAAGGCAAAAATTTCAAAGCGAGGAAGAAAGATGGTTGATTATGACAGCGCCAGACATCACTTAGAAACACTGTTAAATGTTGGCAAGAAGAGAGATGAGGTTAAAATTACAAAGGTGAGTCCTCAGCCTGAAGAAGGTTATATGTTGCATTGTACAAACGTACTTTGTTAAAAATATGTTAGCAGTTTTCCTTTTGTTTTTTATTTCGGTATATACAGTTGAAAATTGGCACGTCAAAACAATTCTGGATCTCTGGGAAGTTGTTAGATATAAGGAGATTGAGATAGTTGAGCTGGGACCTGTATCTTAGTTTTGATACAAAAGAAAATGTATTAAGTCCAGTAAATTTTAAAGGATTGATGAGAGTGAATTCTAACTTTGACATCATCTGTGTATTTAAGGCATCCACATTCAACAAACCGAATTTTGACTGTATTAGACTTATCTTTAAAACAAGAAATAGCAATTAAAGAAATGTTTAAAACAGGTTTACTTTATATTTATTGAAGCAACAACTATACAGACATGTTTATGTAAAATATTTAAAAAACGTTTTATTGATGTCAGCTTGCACGACCTTGTGAATGATAGTTATTTATATACCACAGTTAATTTAACTTGTACTTTGCTTCTTTGTATTTCTTACATTCAAATAATACTTCATTCCTTTAGTTTGCTGTTTAATTTTAAAAATGCTAAATGTTTAATTTACAGTATGCTAATTTTTTAGCATACATTACACCTGCTTAAAAGTATGTAAATTTGATGTTTAGTTCTGGTAAGTAAGTTTGAAAACTAGGTATTTGATTGAAGCTCATCAGTTCTGATGTCATTATAAAGTGTTTAATTTTCAGGCAAAGGAACAGTTAGATGAATCCAAATCATTATATGAATCTCTTAACAAGGAACTCCACGAAGAACTTCCAGCTTTGTATGACAGGTACGTTTTTAAATTCGATGACGAGGATCCCACTTTGAGACTAGTAATGCTTGGAGATGGCTTGAACGATGACAAAACCTTGTTGAAACGTTATGTTAAACTTATATTAAAGTTTTTCTTCATTACCCATTCAAGCCATCTCCAAGCATTACAGGTACATTTTTAAATTTGATTACGAGGAGCCCACTTTGAGACTAATAATGCTTGGAGACAGCTTGAATGGGTAATGAAGAAAAACTACCATGATGATGACAAAACCTTGTCGAAATGTTTTGTTAAACTTATATTAAAGTTTTTCTTCATTACCCATTCAAGCTGTCTCCAAG